ATTGTCTCTTAAAACTAGTGATGGGTGGATGTAGGGGACAAGGGGTAGTTTAGGAGTCTTGCCCATCATTCAGTTACTCCACCTCCAAAAAACACACATTCTAAGTAAAAAATTTAGCTTTCTATGCAAACTACTCTAAAAACCAAATCTAAGTAAAAACAATGGTTGCTGTGAAAATGCAGCCTCCAAATGAATCACTCAGCCTCTTCTTATGACCAGATTTCCATCCCTAAACTCTCCTATAAGAAATTCTGGAGCCATCCCTTTTAGAGTCCTGCCATGTTTTCACTTTCCTGTCACCCGTCAGAAGGATGTGGCTTTGATGCCGATGCAAGTTTTGGCTTTACCCTATGGATCACTTTTGTTGTCGATTCTTCAATCCAGTGGATTTCAGCCATGCTCTTGAGAGCCCACTTTACTCTGGCTGTCGAGTCACACCTGAGTAGCCAGACTGGGCAGAGCCCAGGGCCCCTGGAGGGGAGAACTGCTAAGTGGGAATGGATCTCCTGCGAAGACAGTGTACATACCCAAACAAAATCCAGGGAGAGATTCTGCCAGTCAGAAACGGGTCTGGGGCCAGGGATCCCCCTGTAAACCAACTGGAAAGCAAAGCTAGATTTATATTTGGACAATGGGCCTGGGATGGGGTAGTGGTGGGTAGGAAGAGAGTTTCAGGAACCAGACTGATTAAATTGGGTGTTCGGACGGGTCTGATTTGGAAAGACAACATTGAAAATTGAAGTCAAGTTGTATTTTACAGAGGGTCAGACCCAATGTAGCCAAACAATGGGATTGTGTCAGAGCTATCTTTTATTCACATTAACCCACCCGTGGCTCCCTGCAATCCTGCTTCCTATTGTGGTTGGCCCTCAAAAGTGGGTGGGAGAGTACCCTCCTGGGTGAGGCAGTTCCCATATAACCTAGGGGAATTCTCTATCTCTATTGGAGGAGACCTAGGTGTCCCTGACACTTTGCACTTGAAGAGATAAGAGTTTTCCTTTAGGCCAGATTCACGCTCACCAATCTTGGAGGCACTTGTTAGATACTGATAGCTGCATCAGCTAGATTAAACAGGCACTAATTACCATTTTGCTGGAAAGCACCCTTCACTCTGAGAAAATATAGAACAACTTTCAGTCAGTTTATAAACACAATGTTGAGTTTCATAGACTTGCTTCTGCGGTTAAAGTACCCGTTACCCTTCGGTATCTTGTTTGCCACTGTTGCCTGTCCTCCTCACCCCCCTAATGTATTTTGATGTCATGGAACCAGAACCCTTGGGAAGTGGTTTAAACATGACTATGAAGAAAAGTGGTCGTTAAGTTAATTGTGAGTCAGTTTAGGAGTTTTGAAATGATTCATACAGGTAGAATTCAAACAGGTAGAATTAGGGAGATAATAGGTCAGTTTGAATTCTCACAGTCCTGTCATCCTCCTTTTCTGAATTACTTGTTTTCTCTCACTTCCTGGAAAATCGTGATGAAATAGTCTCCATGGACTTCAATATTTGGGGGTAGGGGATGGTGGCTGGGGATTGAGTGGTAAATATCTCACACTTCTGTAGGCTGAAATTTCCTGAAGTGTTAGAAGTGTCCAATAAACCCGCACCTGTAAAACCTTGGTGTGCTGTTATAACGTGAAAATTACAAAGCATTTTAAATTAGAAAATTTGGGTGGACAAAAAGAATAGAAGTCACAGAGACCAGCCAAAGATGTTTTGTCTAAAGATATTTTAAAAATTGCAAAAGTTAAGGATAATTTTTAAGTTTTAAAAAATTTTTATTTAAAATTGTAGTCACTTCTTAAATTCAGAAAGTAGATGTGATCAGAATATTTTGCAATATCTGAGTAATTTAGCTACTTCTGTTGTCATAATCACCAGCAAAGCAGTTAAACAAGAACTTTGGAAGGTAAAAGCTGTTTTATGTAGATTTTTCTGTACAATGAAAAGATCAAGGTTTGATTAGGAAAGATAAATGTTCCAATTTGAATTTAGAAATGCAGATATATTAAATTTGATTTGATTTTAGAGGCTAAGTAGGAAATGGCTACTTTGTTATTGTGAAGAGGCTGTTATATTTGAATATTCCTCTTAGGTTTTTACTACCCAGAAGACTCAGTATATATGTGTATATGATGGTGGGAGTTTTCTCCCTCACAAACAGCATCCTAATGGAGATGTATGATTGTGCCATTAGGATTGCTGATGTGAATATTTGCCTCAAGATTTATGCCCGCAGCTCTGAAACTGCTATAAATACTCAAAAAATAATAATACTGTGAGTATTTATATATCATTTCTTTTAAGCACGTTTTTGTTTTTATTCTACATATACTGGAAAAATGGACTGACAATTTGCATAATTATAATTGGAAAAAGCTGTTGAGATGTGAGGTTTCTAAAGTCAACAAGAAGGATAAAATGGATGTGATCATTGTTCATGGCATACTTGGTTTGAAATATCTGGTTTTAATGTTATATTATCATTTTGTATGTTTAAGTGGTTTTAATGTTGTCGCTAAAATGGCACCTAATCAATACATTCATGCAATGTATAAAATGCATTGAGTGCCACAAATTCTCCTGCTGCCTTATTTATTTGTAGCAATGTAGGCTGCTTAATGTGTGCTTTTATTTGGAAAGCATTTTTTTGGTAAATGTTTGCTGTTTGCACTTGCTTTTGAGGACAGCCACAGTCCTGCACCACCATCAATATGAGGGATCCTCAAAGCAGTTAGCTTAGAAGTACTTCTCCATTTACCAAAGGATTTAAACTATTTTTGAAAATTACGGGTAAGATTGCTCGTAGATTATTTTAGGTTGGGCTTTGCAGAAGCAAATCTGAGACAGGGATTGTGAGAACAAGTGATTTGTCGAGTGACGCTCTCAGAAGAAGAATGGGAGGGAGAGAGGAGGGGAAAACTCTAAGGAAGGAAATCTCAGTGGAAATGGGCCACAGTTTGCTCCCACAATGAAAATTTGGTCTCATCTTTTGGCAAGAGGACTGACTTTCTTTACTCCCATGTCAGCCAGTCATTGGTTGTGGTTGGCCCTCAAAAGCGGGTGGGAGAGTACCCTCCTGGGTGAGGCAGTTCCCATATAACCTAGGGGAATTCTCCAGTGAAGGGAGGGCCATCTGTGCATTATCAGCATCTTGATGATGGGAGCTCTAGCTGATAAAGGTGATCAGAGCATGACACCAACAACATCCAATTATATAGATGGAAGACAATTTAAAAGAACAGAAAACTTGTTGAACTCAGATTCTGTCACTTCCCCCTCCCCAGCATACACCCTCCCACACACCCACATTTGTAGCCAAATAAAGGTGGAAATTCAAACCATGTTCAAGTCCCTTTGATTACTGAAACAGGTTAAAAGCGTTAATGAGGATATGGACTTGAGGTCTTTCTTTTTTGTTCCTAGCAGTGTAGTAATAGAGACTTCATGTGGCTACCTCTTCTGTTAAAATGCGTTTATGGTATCATGAATAAAAATGAGTTCCCTGAGAGAGGACCTGAGACATTCTCCATGAAGACTCTAGGGTGTGTTAAGTGCCAGGTACTCTCAGATAGGCCTTTCTCCAGGCTTAATACCCACATTTGAAATGCTTCACTTTCAGAAGCCTTTGACTGCCTCTACATGCACAACTGATTCAGACAGCACCAAAACGTTCAATGTGTTCAACGAATGAACTCATCTCAGACTCTTTCTCTGCAATAGATGATGTCACCCTGAAGAACTGTAGTGTATGCTTCTTCCTACTAGAACACCTCCAACCCACTTTCTCTTCCCATTATAGAGCTGTTAGAGAAGATTATTTTCTTTGAAAAAGAATTTTTTTTCTTGTTACTTACCAGAATAATGAAATACTTTACAGAAACTAGGTAACCTTGTATAAGGACAGCAGAATTCCCAGTAGTATCACCAATTTAAAGGGGTTTTTATTCTGTTTTAAATTGTTAAATATTTTTCGAGGGCATAGAAGACGTATTATGAAAAATTCTTTGAATTGCACAATTAACTTTAAAGTAGAAGACCACTGATATAGTAGAAATAAACAATAGCAAGTCTCTATCTTGGATCAAAGAGATATTTGTTGCTAATAATAGTCCCTCTGATTGCATCTGTATTTGATTATTCCAATTTGTTTAGTAGGAATAATAATATGCAAATAAAGTCAGAATAATAGAGAAACATTAATTCAGTTTAGAGCTCAAGTTGATATTGCAATCTTTTCACTCTGCATAGGGATTTGCTAATTCTTTATATAGAACACAAATCAGGCCAGAGCCTAGGAAAGTTCTGAAAAGAAAAAGGCATTTTGGAGCACGCTGGACATGGTGGGCATCGGGAAGGTGACTTGAAAGGATCCTACTTACAAATATTTCTTTAGTGATCCGAAATTGAATGCCTTTGGTTATCTTTTCACTACCAGTATCTAGTCTTATCTGCACAAAGCAAAAAGTTGAGAGGGTAAAGTAAAAGATAATTTTAGACTTGCTTTTAAAGTCAATCCTTAAATAATTGCCTCCCTCAGACTTTATTTTCTTTTTATAATTTTTCATTTAATAGTCTACATTTGTATTTTCCTCCAGTCCAGAAATAGGAACTTGCTTGAGTAAGCAAGATTCCTTTTTAATCTCTATGCTTGATAATTTATTACCCAATATTTGTTTATTTCATTCATTGGTCATAATTTTAAAAATATTGTTATAGTCAAGATAGAATAAATATTTTAGAAATATTATGTCTTGTTGTCAAACTTCTTCAAATTGTGCCTAGAATTCTTGGCAGACCAAATAAAGGACTTAAAGAACCCATTACATTAGAATTGAGAAACTTATCTATAGCAAACATTTAATTTGGCTAACATTTTCTTTTAAAAAAGACTTTATTTTATATAATTATTATCGTTTGATAATGACTTGAAAAGTTTGAGGTCCCTCTAACTCCATGATTGCTTAAAAATATGTTGTGATATTTTTGTGGCTTCCAGAAAGTTCCAATTAAATGATGAAGACCACTGGATTTACCAGGCTGTTTTGGATCAGTATCCTGGAGATCTCTGTGGCAGAAGAACTCTGTATCTGGACATGTTACAAAGATATTTTCCTCATAAATCTAGGCATTATTTGGTGAGTGCTGGACCGTATACTAGCAAATTAAATTGTTTTAGTGATCAATAATTATTAAGCAAAATATATATTTTTTAAATGGTGCTCTAAAAATTACTTTTTCCTACCCTCTAGAAAATAATAAGGTTATAGGTTGAAAGTCCGTCATTTTTCAGTCTGTATGGTCCATAAGAAGGTGGGGGACCTCTCTGGCAACATTCCCTCTTCTGCGCTTACTTGCCCCAGACATCTTCACTCTGGTTCCTGGGGTTGCTCTGCTAGTGTTTGACCCCCAGCTGTCTCTACATTTACTTGCCCACCCTCAGGAGTTCTACCGTCTCTGAATCTTGCCTAAAAGTGGGGTACCTGTTCCTCCATCCACAGAGCCTGCCACACTTCAGTCCTTCTAGTCATGGGGAAGCCAACACTCCCCCTGGGGGCTTGTGCATACATATCCCGTCCCCACCTCAGCCATTCCACTTGATCCCCCTAAATGGGCCTGAAACACAAATGCCTCAAATACAGAAGTCAGAGTGAGGACTGCCACGTCCCTGAGAAGGGCCCTGGAAATTGTTTTTATTCCCTGTTAATTCTGTTTGCTTCTGCGACCAGCTGTCATTTTAAAAGAAGCTTGGTAGCTTCTTTTATATACAACTTACTGGCTAAATAATGTATCAAATTCAGAGATGTAGTCTATACTGGCCAAATAAAGAATTATTTAGGTCAGTGACTCTCAACTTCAGGAGACACACATCTTTATATAAGGAACATTTCAGAATTACCTGCAGAGATTTTTCAGACTGCTCAGTCTATCTCCATTCCTCTTCTTCCCCTCAAGATTCTGAGATTCCCCATGGTTGGGATTCACTGCTGGCATCAACGTGAGAGTGTCATGTCCCTCAGGAGTGTGGGACGGGCAGGGCTAATGTCATTGTTATGATTACTTCAAATTTAGACATCCTAACATTAGAATGCTTCAGTACTCGAGGGAAATACTGAGTTTTCAGGATTATTGTAGCAATTTTTTATGTATATTAGCATGCATCTAACTGAAGCACCTGTTAAAATACCAGAACTGATTTAAAGATGGAGTATGTCTGAAATTATATATAGGGGAAATAATGCTTTCTGCTTACAGACTCACTGCCATGTAGAAGTGGAAGTTGTTTTCGGGTTACTTGGTCTGACTCCATTCTATACGAGGAAACCAAGGACTTACACGTGTTAAAGGACTGCTCGTCAGTTATTAGTTAGCCACGGGCTCTGAACTCTGGGGCTGGCACCCGGTCCTGGTTGCTGCATTTATCATTGAGATATTTGTCCCAAATTTTTCAAAATCATTGGTTACAATTCATTTTATTCATTTTGTAACAATGACATAATGCATAGGCTCACTTTCATGACAAACGTTTACTATCTGTTATCTTTTCAGGTTGAACATGAGAAATACTGTGACCAATATCGCTTTGCTAGGGAACAGCGAAGGATCCTGATAGCAAGTTGGAGTAAGAATAGAAGAGACTTTATACAGAAGGCTGTGCTGACACTTGCCGACGCCTGTGCAGCTCATGAAATGGAGAGCACGTTGGCTAAGGACAGGAAAAAGCAACAGGAACTGTGCGCTGATCTGAAAGCCAAGGTGAGATACTTTGCAGATAGTGTTTCAGTATTTGCCTGGGTATTCTTTTAAGAATCCACTTTTCCCTTTTCTTCAAACCCAACCTGAAGTTCAGTTTCTCTAAAAGGCCTATCTTGAATAAAATTGTTAGTTTGAACCATATGAAACTGAAATTCTTTTAGGTCAAAAATAGTCGATAATCAACATATGGTTCAACCTGAAGTTACTATAAGAAGAGGTTAATATTGACGTTTTTGTTGAGAAATATCCAATAGCTGTGTAATAAATGCTGCACCAGAGTGAGGTGCTGGGTGAAAATGCAGAGCATAATTGTAAGGCAAATGTGTGATGCTGGTTCAAGGACTCTTGGACCTCTCGTTTGTATTAAAGATGTAAAAAAGGTCAGGTTATGAAGAGAAGAGAAGATTTGTGAAGAGATGTGTTGGGGAGAGTTTGACGGATGTGTGTGAGCCCTCAACACAGTGCAAGGGGGAGTAGGTGCGATTTCCCTCCTTCTCAGGCCCAGTGAGGGGCCTCCAGGATGGCTTAGAGAGTTTAGTGGGTGGCCAGAGGCTTGAGGCCTGCTGTCTGACGCTCACAGGGAAATACAGAGGAGCTGCCTCAGTGGCAAAATTGAAAACAAGCATGGCTGCTGTGTTGGGAGTAGTTGCATTCCCTGGACTGGTCATGGGCGCTTGAGTCCTGGAGGCCCCAGACGGATATGGCCTCTTAGCAGTGTGGTCAGGGCCATTAAAAATAAATTGTGTTGGGGTACAGCATGCATATAGTAAAGGGCACAAATCTGACTTATTGGTAAACGATATGGTAGCAGGATGATGGTGCAATGAGAAATTTTATTCTCTTGATAGAAAAAGTAAACTGGTAAACATTACACTGTAGCAATTAATAGCATATAAAAATGAATGTTTCTGTTTTAAAATGTTAGAGGAAAAATGCCTGCTCTGCTGGTTTTGGTTTTTGTTTTTGTTTTTGTCTTTTGCTGAGGACGATTCGCCCTGAGCTAACATCTGTTGCCAATCTTCCTCTTTTTGTATGCGAGCCACTGCCACAGCATGGCCACTGACAGACAAGTGGTATAGGTCCACACCCAGGAACTGAACCTGGGCCACTGAAGTGGAATGCACCAAACTTAACCACTGGGCCACTGGGGCTGGCTCTACATTTTTATTTTTAAATAAAAAGATGTTTCTTTTGACACTGCATAAACTTGGGACCTAAAAGGAATCTACCACAGGCTGTAGAACCAATGCGTGTTTCTTTTCCATCTGCAGGCTGATAGAAATACACTGGGGTCAGGGGCCATGACAAGTCCTTGTATTCTCTTAGTCTGCTTATATTCATTTTGCACACATTATCATTAGCCCTCAAGCTATGCTGTAAGTGACATTTTCTCTTTATTGTATTGCATTGACGTAAGCATACATGCAGTAAAGTGCACAGGACTCAGGTGCACTATTGCATGAAGTTTGGTATATACATATCCTCCATGGAAATACTGTGCAGATCAAGACGTAGAACATTTCCTGCCACTCAGAAGGCTCCTTCATGTTTCTTCTCAATCAATAACACCCTTACTGATTAGCACTATTCTGAATTCATGACCATAAATTAGTTTGGCTTATTCATGGACTCCATGTAAATTAAGTCATATGGTATAGACTCTTTTGTACTTCTCTTGCTCATTATGTCTGTAAGTTTTATCTTTGTTGCGTGTTGTGATCGTTTGTTCTTTATTGCTGGGTAGTATTTCATTGTATACATATACCACGGTTTATTTATATGTTCTCCTGTCAAGGGAAACTTGAGTTGTTTTCAGGTTTTTGCTACTATGATAATGGTGCTATGAACGTTCTTGAGCATGTCTTAGGATGGACAGATAGGTTCATTTCTATTGGATAGATACTTAGGAGCGGAATTGCTGGATTATGAGGCTCAGGTGCATTTACCTTTAGTGAACACTGCCAAATAGTTTTCCAAAGTGGTTATACAAATTTTCAACCAGTTTCAATTGCTCCACATTCTCACCAACATTATTATTGCCAATCTTTAATTTTAGCAAATCTGGTGGAGGTGTAATATTGCCTCATTATGGTTTTCATTTGCACTGAGAATAAAGATGTTGAGCAACTTTTCATATGCACATTGGCCATTTGGATATCCTGTTTTGTGAAATGTCCACCCAAGTTTTTTGCCCATTTTTTTTATTGGGTTGTCTGTTTTTTTCTTATTCATTTGTATGTTTTCATATATTCTGTATGCAAGTTCTATTTCTTTTTATTTTCTCCCAATCTGTGACTTGTCTTTTCACTCTTTTAATGGTGTCTTTTGATTTAAAAAAACTTGATTTTAATGAAGTACTGTTTTTAATTTAATATCTTTGTGTTATTTACAGTAAAATCACTGCATATTTTTAGTGTATAGTTTTGAGATTTTTGACAAATACATGACATGTAACTACTACTACAATCAAGATATAGAACTGTTCTATCACCACTCAAAAATCCTTCGTACCTCTTTGTAGTCAACCCCTCACCCACCTCCAGCCTTTGGCAACCACTGGTCTCTGTATCCATAGTTTCGCTTATTCTAGAATGTCATGTAAGTGTAACCATACAGTATGTGGCCTTTTAAGTCTGGCTTTTTCACTTAGTGTAATGTATTGAGATGCTGCCAAGTTGTTGTATGTATCAATAGACTGTTCCTTTTTCATTGCTGAGTCCACAATCCATTCCACAAAATGGATTTATCACAGTTTATCCATTCACCAGTTGTTTCCAGTTTTGGGCAACTAGTGTTACTTTGCTACGGTGGGGTAGGCTTTAGGCTTTTCCTGTGAGCCTGTGTCTCAGAGAGACTCGCCACTCTTGTCCCTTCCCCCGCAGTAGATTCTTACTGAACACGTACTAGCCTGGTAGGAGAAGAGGCATTCTGCTTTCCTGGTTCAGTCTCAGTCTCAGGCAGGACCTATGTGCCTGGGTCTTGGGGGCTAAAACCTACTCAGTGACCTTCCTCTTCTCCCCATAACTGTCTCATATCTCAGTGGCTCTTGTGTGGGAGGGAGCTTCCTACCCCTTCCCCAGGAGAGGAGTTTCATTGTTCCCTTTCTCTATCTGTAATGGGTCTACACTTGTGCTTGGTGGGTTTGCTGCTCTTCATCCCTCCCTACCCCTAGTGGCTTAAATTCTATAGGGGTTTTATTTCTCTCTCATGGACCTGCACTACCATGGGAGGCTTCCTCTGCTTGCCTACCCTGACTCTGATCTTTCTTATGAGCCTTCTGTGAGGTTTGTGGGGAAAGCCTGTGAGAGGGTGTAAATTTCCCTTGTGTCTGTAGCTTCCATGGGTTCTATACCCTCATGCCTTGCCATAGCAGCAAATTGTTGAAATGTAACTATGGAGTCATTACAGAGTGTTAGCTGCCATCTTCTTACCCACTTCTTTGATGACCTTGTCTTTCCCAGGAGCTCTGCCTCAGGTAAGCCAGTTCTCACATTGCCTCTCTTCCTGGAGCCATCTGTCTTGCTTTAAATCTCAGGCTAGTTTATTCTCCTGTGACCGACACTCTCTGATGAGTTCAAGAAAATTTCTGATGTTGTACGCTATTCAGCTTTTTCTTGTGGTTAAGCTGAGAGCGACATTTTTTCCAGCTTTCTACATCCTAAAAGGAAGCTGGAAGGTCCTGATGAAATGCTATTTATCAATCTTTTTGTGCCCTATTTATGAAATCATTGGCTAGTGGCATGGGATCATTTTCAAAGGCATCCTGTCCAAGATTTTTCTGCCCAACAGGGCTCCTACCAGCAGTGAGGAGACCCCCAACACAGTGCTGTGGAAAAATGAAAATGGCAACCTGATAAGTCGAAGAGAAGTAGCTGGTCAAAGGAAAATGTGTATGACCTACATCAGGGGAATTTTTCCAGGAACTATCTAGCTAGCAATCAAGGGAAGAAAACTGGTAGGAGGGCTAAAGTCAATGTTAGCCACCTACAAGGTTTATTTAGGACAGCATCAGTAACCGTCCTAATGAGAACTCTACTGTCCTCTTCTTTACCTCTCCTCTCCTTTTTCCTCTGACCCATGGACTCTGATGGTCTGAGCTTCTAGGAAATGAAAGAAGTCATCTTCTGAATAAAGAAGAAAGAGTTGATTCATCTCTTGGAACTGGACAATTTAATTCTGAATCAAGACTGCATTTCGTGGGGTCCTTTGTAACCCAAGTGTGAGCATGGGTTCTACTTAGTTTTCGTCTAGTGACAGGAGAAACCTCTGAATGGGGGACAAAAATAAAGCTGCATTTTGATTATTTCCCACACACGATGCTGTCCAATGTATCAGGTGTATTCTACTAAAGTCCCCGACATCTCAGGTGTTCTAATAGACGCTTTATAGGCATTTCCTGATGTTACCCTCAATCACAAATCTAAGTTAAGTTGCTGCAGAGCACCCACCCACTGAAATCAGGGGCTTGGTTCCTGGAGGCAATGTCATACGGAGGCTCCTCAGAGACCCATGGTCACAAGATGGTGAAGAAATATCTTGAACTTTTGGGCAGAGAATGGAGAAATTGGAGCACAAAATAAATTGTAGTAAAATGGATTCTATTTCCTATAGAGACAGTGTTATCACTGGAGTTTGTGTTCTCAATCAAAAACTGAGGTTCAATAAATTATAGCTGGGACCACAAATATATCAGAAAATAAAAGGAGTAACTCTATCAATTCTATAGTAATTTAAAATATTAAATTAGGCTCATGATTTTCTTAACCTGGAAGGAAACTTGGAGATTTGTCCCTATCTTTCATTTTACAAGTCTGAAAGCTGAAGTCTTGAAAGACAGAGTGACTTGCCTAAGGTTCACACTAGCTCATTTGACTTGAAATTCAATATTATCTTGGCCCCACACAGCTTTGCATACAAGCATCTTACATCGTAATAGAAGATATTTATTGTGCTGTGGGCCCCAATGTGCTATAAAGTAGACCTGCAAAATGTGAAAAATA